ACCTCTTTAAGAAACCATCGATCAGGCTGTAGGGCATTTTCTTGATTAGTGATTGATGGGGGAGTTGGCAGCTCATTGTCAGGGATGCCATCCCTGGGCTGGTGGCCCTGGGTTCTATAAGAAATCAGGTTGAGTAAGCCATGGGGAGCAAGTCAATGCACAGCATCCCTTCATGGCCTCTACATCAGCTCCTGCCTCCAGGTTCCTGCTGTGCTTGAGTTCCTGTCACAATCCTTGAGGATTAACAATGATATGGAAGTGTAAGTCAAATTAACTCGTTCCTCTCCAAGTTGCATAGAGTTTCATCACAACAATAGTAACTAACCCTAACCAAGACAGAGGCAGATATTTTGTTGGGATTATTATTATTATTATCCAGGGTTTTTTGTTTGTTTTGTAGTTTGGGGTTTACTTGTTATTTTAAACAGTATCTTGTTATGTAACATACAAGGATCCTCAACATCTTCCCACCTCAGCCTCCCAGGTGCTGGGATTATGGGCATATGCTCCATGCCCAGTTGTTTTGTTGGTTTTTAAACCTCTATTTAGGTGTTCATGCCTGAAGAACAAAGCTCCACTCACACCTAGTCTGCCACACTCATGAGTACATTCAGATCTATGCGTCTGTTCATACTTACGTATGAATGGACATGCCCAGAGACCTTGTCTGGTGACCCTGAATAGGCCAGTGTGGTTACCTGTCCCTAAAATCACTATGATTGATGACACAGCACACCTTTCTACTTCATTTGCAAGAACTGTATGTCATCCCTGTACCAGGCCTCAAAACTGGCCCCTTTGCCCTCAGTGCCCTCTCTCAGCCTTACTGGAGAAGGGAACAGGGAGACTCAGGGACGGGATCAACTTGTGTTCCTTTCCTGAACTGCCTGTCACTGGTGCTGCCATGGAACTCTTCTGAATCTCAAATGCCCCTGCATCTGTTCCGTGCAACTGAAAGGGCAAGACACACAAACAGATGATGAGGACAGGTGTCCTGAGTCAGCCTCTGCACATCAGTTCTCCAGCCCCTGGCATCAGGCCCTTGTGACCCCTGACTAGATTACTGCCATAGACTTTTCGATCCAGAATCAGCCACTTTGCAGAAACTTACCTGTGCCCCCAAGGAACTTTCCAGGAGCCTTGGGATTGGCTCTGACACTTTGGCTCCCAAAGATGAATGGCAGAAAGAGACAATGCTTCTCTAGAGAACATGTCCTTCATTGTTGACCTTGATTTCTGCAGTCAAGCATACCCGTGAGTGAGGAGAGGAAGGGTATTGAGCGCCCCAGGATAGACAGCCTCAACAGACTGGCAGTTCCTTCTGCCCCTGCCACTGTCATGTCCACCCTCATCTCCCTCATTCCTGCACCTCTCACTAGGAGGACAGAGCTGGGTAGAGCTGCAGCTCTTCTGCATTGCGGCTGTGGGTGCTGTGAGACAAAGAGAGAGATTGCCACCTATTGACAGACAAGTCACCTGCAAAGAGAATGCTTGTGTAACCAGCAGCTCCCCCATCTCCGAGCTCTGTAAAAGGCCCTCCAGGGATTATTGGGCCCTTTGCATTTTCCGTCCTGACAGTCTTGCTCTCAGCGGTACCTTTCCGCTGAAAAGGACAGGGAAGAATGGGGATTTGACAGTCCAAGGTGACAGTGACAGCATTTCAATGGGAAAACTGAAAATAAACCACCTAAGGTAGTGACAGCCACTTCCTGTCCCATTTAATTCGCAGTACAATTCTAACCATCAATATTTCATATTTGCATCTGAGGAATCAGGTTTCAAGAGACTCCCTTGCTCATGACCATGACCGTGGCAGATACGGAAGAGGGTTGGATATGAAAGTCGGGTATCAGGTCTCGATGTCTAAGTACTATGCTGCCTCCTTACACCTTCTATTGTATAACCCATATCCCCACTGCAACTTCCCTAAACATAAGTCACATGGATTAAAAATAAACCAAATATAGAAGAATTGTTTCCCTGTGGTTGGAAGAAGATCCAACTCTGTCACTTGTACTGGGCCCCTAAGATCAGCTTCCTCACCTGAAAGATGGGGATAGATGGTGTCAGAATTGGGGACTTAGAGTAGGTAAGTAGTAGGTCACTTTGCAGAATTCCTGGTGTTTATGAATGGGTGCTTAGTCCCCTGTGAGCTGAATACAGGCTCCTTTTTTTTTTTTTTTTTTTTTTGGAGGGGGGAACCTTAGGCAAATCATTTGACTTTTGGAGCCTTAATTTCCTCATTTGTAAAATGGGGTTAATAATAATATGCATGTTCTTATTGTGTTAGCCATGCAGTAAGGTGACATTGTGTGTATAGAAACATTTTGCTAGTTTGTTTTTGTTTTTGTTTTTTTATTTTTCAAGACAGAGTTTCTCTGTGGCTTTGGAGGCTGTCCTGGAATTAGCTCTTGTAGACCAGGCTGGTCTCCAATTTACAGAGATCCTCCTGCCTCTGCCTTCCAAATGCTGGGTTTAAAGGTGGGCCCCACCACTGCCTGGCTACATTTTGCAAGTTTTATTTATTTATTTATTTTTAAGATTTTATTTATTATGTATTATTACAACATTATTATTATTATTATTATTATTATTATTATTATTATTACAACATTATTATTACAACATTCTGCTTCCATGTATATCTGCACACCAGAAGAGGGCACCAGATCTCATAATGGATGGTTGTGAGCCACCATGTGGTTGCTGGGTATTGAACTCAGGGCCTCTGGAAGAGCAGTCAGTGCTCTTAAACTCTGAGCCTATCTATCCAGCCCCCATTTTGCAAGTTTTAATTGCACTCTTCAAACATTAGTTGTTAGGGTATAAGAAAAGGTTATGCTTCTCAAAACGTATTTTTGAGAACTATTACTTCCTGCAAATGACTTGAGTTGAATTCAGCCTCCACAGAATAGCTTTTATTTGTAGTATTTACTAAAAAGGGGTGGTATGAGACAGCTCAGAGGGTAAAGGCAATTGCAGCCAAGCCTGATATCCTGAGTTCAATCCCTGGAACTCACCAGATGGAAAGAGATATTCCACTCCCACAAGTTGTCCTCTGACTTCCACACATACCCAGCCGGGGCATCCCCCCCCCCATACACAAGTAAATACATACTAAGCACACACATGACACCAAATGCTCCGAACACTGCAGGCTCTTCTGCAAGCGGCCTATAAGCTATTAACCATTGATCACACTTTTTTGGACTATCTATTTACTCTTGTTTCACAGATGAAGAAATACATGGCTTGAAGAATCAGAGGAACTAATTAGGGACACACAGGGGAACCTTTCAAGTGCAGACATTTGCCCAAGCTCACTTGTGTGCTTTTGTGTGTCTCTTGCTCATTTATTTGATGGAACCATGGGTTCAACTGTTCAGGGAAGGGAAGAGGCCACCCGAGTTATTTACAACAATCAGCAATTGCTTTTTCGGTTCCCTTCTAGCTTTGCTTTATCCTCTGAGACACAGCTCCCACAAGAGGGAGGGCCCTGTTTGTCTGGAAAGTCTGCTGGCTATCCCCACCCCACCCCCCTTTACAAAACAGAGATCTAAATCCATCTTCTGAGAATACTTCCTCTTTGCTTCACTGTCTGCCAGCGGTTTTTGAATTCTCCTTAGCAACATTTAAGAAAAAGAAATGGTTTAGCAACAGCATGTAAACCTATGAGGATGTGAAAATGCAAATGACAACTAGACCAATGAGAGCCCTACATGGCAGGCAAGCTGGCTTATGGGAGAAAAGAAAAACCTGAAGTTTGCAAAGTAGCCTCCAGGTGGCAGCAGAGCAGCTACTTTAGACCCGTTTCAAGGCTCTCAAGCCTCAACTTTTGTTGTTGTTGTTGTTTTGAATTTTGGTTTTGGTTTTGGTTTTGGTTTTGACCTGTTCTTGATTCCTCGTTTAAGAAATATTCTGTTACTGTGGGTAGGAGTTCTTTAGATGACATGGTAGGCATGGGCTAGAAGCATGCACTTTGCTTTTATTCCAGTCATTCCTAGGCTTCTTCCATCTTCGTTGTTTTGTAGCCAGCTCCAGCCCAGTAGGCTGAGGCCTGGAAACTTGGAGCGCCTGCTCAGCCTAGATGAGTACAGGGCCTGGAGGAATCCTATTCTCTGTTTATCCACCACTGCTGCAGGGCTGAGTGGTGAGAGGGGTGGGGCTGGCCCTCTACCACCAGGGAATGGGATTAAAGAATGTGCCACCAACAAACTGGTGCCTATCAAAGCCCACATTTTCATGTGGCATGCAGACCTTCATTTCCTTGCAGTTCTGTTATGTCTGTCTAAGCAGGAATCCTGACCAGCAGGAGGCTTGTGGGCCTTTCTACTCTCTTTGGGGTGGTTTGGTCCTCTTCCTCTGGTAGCTTGGGCACACACAGTGACTGAATAGCAAACAATAGCATATCCACATTTTAGCCATCCCTCTCCTGCCCTTTGAGATGGTTTTGCTGTGAACATCTCTCGGTGTTCCGATGTCGGGATGTGTCTCCAGTGTTTGCACTTCTTCGTGGCTCAGTCTTCTCAACTTTAAAGAGTCTGTAAAGGGTGTGGAACCTTCAGAAAGCCTCACCTGATTCCCTCATACACACCTGCTCCCTGGAGAGCCCGCTGTTGTGCGTCCATATATGCGTTCTAAATACTTCCTCCCTGGGAGCCAGAGTTCATGAGGTCGAAGACTACCCTTTGTATCAAAGCCCTTAGCATAGCGCTAGCTTTAAGACAAATGCTCAATGCCTGTTTTTTTTTTTTTTTTTTTTTTTTTTTTTTTATGAGAAACAATGCAGGAAAGCCATTCTTGATTTTGATTTGCTCTTAGGGGAACAATCTGGGGTTTCCGAACCTGAGCCAGAATAGTGCCTATGAGTTTGGTGCCCATATTGGAAGACACCTTTAGGCAGACCAAAGTCCCAAGCCTGAGAGGTCATTACCACTGTTGTTTCATCCTGTGGTGTGCTCGTCTCAGTAATGTGGCTTCCTTTGTGATTTGTGTTTTAGGAAGAACCAAGGAGCAAATCCAAGATCTGCGCCAATGTGTTTTGTGGAGCTGGCCGGGAGTGTGCAGTCACAGAGAAGGGAGAGCCCACATGCCTCTGCATTGAGGTAGGTACTGATGGCAGGAGTGGAGGGCAGCGATTGTGGAAAGTTCCAGGGATCCCATCATTTCTATAAACGCACAGCTTGTCTACCCCAAAGACACATGGAAGGCTTCCCCTAGGGTTAAGAGTGAAATTCCTGATTTTTAAATTAAATTTTAAAAGAGATAGCTTTTCATTTATTTTTTTTAAAAAAACTGTGTAGGGAGTCTAGAGAGCTAGCTCAGTAGGAAACATGCTTGCTGTATTCAGAGCCTCAGGACCCACACAGATGCCTGCTGTGGCAGCGGGAGTCTGTGACCCCAGCATGGCAGGAGAGGGGCAAATCCATGGAGTTCACTAACCAGCCATTTCATGAGCTCCAGATGTAGTGAGAACTCTATCTCAGAAAATTATACAGAGAACAACCAAGAACAGTACCTAATATAGACCTCTGGCTGTTATACACATGTGCACACACGAGCTCTCTCTCTCTCTCTCTCTCTCTCTCTCTCTCTCTCTCTCTCTCTCTCTCTCTCACACACACCCCCACACACACACACACACACACACACACACACACACACTTACATGATAGCAAGGAAATTGACCCAGTTTAGATGTCCACCAGCAGATGAACAGATGATGAAATGTGCTCCATATACACAATGAAAAACTATTCAGCTATAACGAAAAATGGCATTTATAGGAACATAGATGGACCTGGAAAGTGTGATATTAAGTGGGGTGACTCAAACTCAGAAAGAAAGACAAAATGCAGGTTCTTTCTCATGTGGATTCTAGACTGCTATACAATGTATTAGGGTGGGTGTTGTCTAAAAGGTAAAGATGAGATCGGGAGTGTAGTCAGGGTTAGACCTCTGTAACAGTGAGGAAGGGTAGAATGTAGACAAAGGGACGCATGAGTCATGAAAGAGGATATACATGAAAATTTGTGTCTAGCTTCAAATCTGCAATTTTTGTCTTTTGAGGTTTGGGTTTGTTTTTTATGCTGGATGTTTGAACCCAACTTTCTGAGTCAGAAGTAGCAAGAACTGTTTAGTTTTCCTTAGGAATCTAACATGTCAGTCCTTTGAGGCAGTGGCTGTGAAAGCTGAAATCTCTTTCTACTTCCACTGACCACTGGTGTAACAGGAAGAAGCCATGACTAGTCACAAGTATATTTGTCACATTGACCTACTTTGAAAAAGTGACTTTAAAAAAATAATCTGAGAGGCTCTGTTAAGAGTAAAAATTGTTCCTTTTTCCTTTGGTTTGAAATTTTACCAAGCAATCCATTCTAGTTATTTTATATGTAAACTGTATTGTTATACATGAAATTAAGTATGGGATTAAATTTTAAAAATTTCTTTAAGTTAAAACATTACCAATTATTTTATGTGTCAAACAGTGTTGGTATTTAGACATTTGTACTACCAAGGAATTCTCAGTTCTCATTAGTCTGAGGTAACTGGCATTAATAACTTTCCTAAACACCAGAGTTTCCCCTATTTTATAAATACTCAATTTTAAAATACTTTTTCCACACATAGGTCTATGAAGTCTGTACATTGCAGTCTTTGGTGTGCTGTGGCAGCCTCCCAGACCGACACAGATTTTAATATTTTTAAATAGCTGAATAATATTTAGTGATGTAAATTTATTCATTCATTTCCTTGGAGATGGATATTTAAGTGGTTCTCTGGGTTGTTTACCACCACAACAATAGCATCCTTTTGCCAATAGCCTTTATTTCTTAGAACTGATGGCCACTGGGGGTCTGCTGGGTCAAAGGATATGCAAATTTTAAATCATCAGGCAGAATGTGGGCTTTGAAGTTTTGTCTTTAAATGGCATTTGAAAGGCAAAATGAGTCTTTAGGAAATAGGCAATAAATTTTCATTCTGCATGTGAATGTAGGTAACCCTGGCCATGGGCTTCTCTTCTTTTCTCCCTTCTATCAAGCTGCTCCGTACCCTGGAAATGGGCTTTTCTGTAAATAATACCCTTTGAGTCTCCAGACCCTGATGCATTGCATCTGAAGGCAACATGTACCAACTTGAAACCTAAAACCCGATCACTCTGGGATCCCTTCACCTTGGCAGTCTGCGCTGGAAGGATACCGACCACCATGTGGTAGCATGACTTAGACTCTGGAAATAGTCTCAGCTTGTCCACAGATAATTGTGTGGTTTTAAGCAAATGAATTCCCAGGACTTGCTGTAAAGATGAGCCCATGTTGGCTTTGTTCAGCACCCAAAACATACCAAGCCCTTCATAGTAAATGTTGACTGAATGAATAAATGAAGTTCACCTTTCTTGCCTTGGGTATCTTTGTGTATAAAATGGAGGGGTTGGAGTCCCATCCTGGCTCAGGACTCTGGTTAACATCTGTCTTTTGTCGTCACTCTAGAAGCCCTAGTCTGCTTATAAACCGGATGAACTTTCTTCCATATCTCTGTCCTTAATGATTTCCTGTCGTCTTTCACCCTCACTGTCAGCCTTACAACAGTGGTTATGAAATTAGGACAAAAGCTGCATGGCTCCTAAATGCTACAGAGAACTTGAAATCCTTGTCATTTGGTCCTAGAAGAATTGGTGTGTGTGTGTGTGTGTGTGTGTGTGTATTGAGTTTCCATGCCCCCAGTTCTCAGCTCTAACTCTTTTGTGTCATGGAAAGTGGGATTTGTCTATTTCTGTTTCCCTAAAAAATGCCTGAGCTGGGCTCTTTCTGAGTCATAGAAGTATACCTCTCACAGCGTCGGAGGCTGTGACATGCAAGATCAAAACAAATTCATGTAATGTCTGGTGAGGGCCTGGTCCCTACTTGCAAAGGAACCCTCAAACATGGTGTTCTCACATGGCAAATAATAGAAGGGCCAATGGGCTAAATGCTGTGTGAAATCCCTTTTGTAAAGGCCTTATTTCCATTCATGAGGAAGGATCCCTGGTGATTTCATCATCTCCCGAAAACATAGCCTCTTTGTGCTGTTTCATTGGGGATACATGCAATACAAATATTTCAGCCACAGGAGGGGGTTTGTGTACTTGAAAGTTGGCACTGGACCAGGATAAACAGAAGGGCGTGGAGAACTCAAAATAGAACTGCTATACCAAGTGGAGTACAGTCACTGATGATGACCAGAGCTGGGGTTCCCCAGCCCTGGTGATATAGGTGCTCCCCAAGCCCTGGTGATATAGGTGCTCCATCTCTGTTGGTGGTGAGTCACCCGACATGTTCTAGCCTGCATGGCTGCATAAACATTCTCCTGCCCATCTGTTTCAGCAATGCAAACCTCACAAGCGGCCTGTCTGCGGCAGTAATGGCAAGACCTACATCAACCACTGTGAACTTCATAGAGACGCCTGCCTCACTGGATCCAAGATCCAGGTTGATTATGATGGGCACTGCAAAGGTAAGGCATGCTGTCATTGCTGAATGCCAGGTCTTGTGACAGGGAGACAGACACAGAAACCACAGCAGGGTGACCACATAACCATTTGGAGATGCTCCTTCCTAACATTCAGAAGTCTGCTAGGTTTGGCCTGGCTGACTTTGCCCTGTGTTCCCTGCTCTCAGCATCACCTGCATCTGGAGAGTAAATAAGGTGACTGCATCAATAATCAACAATGATAAAAAGGCTCTTAAAGGAGTTCCACGCCTCTTAGAAAAAGTAGGTCAATTTCTCCTTTTCCTGCTTTTAAAATTTGGGCATTTCTCAGCCTAGTAATATACTTCCTTTATTGTCACTCTTGTTGTTGCGATCAGTTGGAAAGATGGATTCCCAAGCATGATTGCTAGTCACCAGACCTTTCCAAGTCTAGAGCCTGTCTAGCCATTCCATCTTTGACTTTCCCTGGGAAAACACAAAGCTGTATCCCAGACACCAGTCTCCTCTCTGTCCCTTGTGCAGAATTAATCGCTATATGAAGTTTTGAAATTCCAGGGACTGCTCAACCCAGCAGGGAGAAATATAAATCTAGAAGGATGATCCATTGTCCACAAGCAGGAAGGATCCCCAACCTTAGACCCTACAAAGAAAGAAAAGGATATAAGAATTGAAGGCAGGGGGCTGGAGAAATGGCTCCATGGTCAAGAGCACTGACTGCTCTTCCAGAGGACCTGGGTTCAGTTCCCAATACTCACATAGCAGCTAGCAGCCACCTGTAACTCCAGTTCCAGGGGACCTGATGTCCTCTTCTGACTTGCAGGTACCAGGCATGTACAATAGTGCAAAGACACACATGCAAGCAAAACACCCATGCATTAAATCTTAATTTAAAAAAGAAGAGTTTAAGACAAAATGATAACAAGGTTGCAAGATTTCACAGTTTAATCCTAAAACCATCGGCATCTTTCATTCTTCACTTGGCATTACACATCTCCTATTGTCTTTCAGAAAAGAAGTCTGTGAGTCTGTCTGCCAGCCCAAGTAAGTACCTGACCTTCCTGCAGGGTGTGTGCATCTTAGGGAAGAGACTTATCATGGAGGAAGCATCTTGTCTTCCACAGTCCCCGCTGAGCTGCCAGGATCATGTGGGGTCAGGACTTTTGATCCAGATCTGAGGGCAATACAGCTCAGTAAAACCACGAGACTGCGTTATAAAAACGTTTGTTTTGTTTTGGTGTCTGCCGGTCAAAGTAGCTGTTTGGTTCTAAATGTTGACTCTTCTGCATTTTTGCTGAGTGGTAAATGCCCTATTGGGACAGCCAGTGAGACCTTCTTTCAGGGCCTTGTAAGACATGATCATGTCATGGACCCGTGAAATCAGAAGACACAACTCTTTGTCAGAAGACAGTTGGAAATGCCAGTATGGTGACTGCTGTAGCTTGCTATTAAAACGTATAAAATCTCAACGTGGTTTATAGGCCCAGACCTCACAGTAACCTTGCAGGTCTCACTGTAATTATCTTAGAGTTAAAGTATAAAGGCTCATAGGATTGAGTCGGTTCCCCTAAGCCACACAGCTAGGAGGGACAGAGTGGGAAATGTCCGCATGTTCATTGCCTGGCCCTGCACCTCCTCATGCCCTGGCATATGTTGTCTTCCAGGAATCTCCTTTGGCCAGAGCTGTCTCCCCCCATCTTCTCTGCCCACATGACTCCCACTTGTTTCCACATGGCTTGTAACAGCTGCCCAGAGCAGGGCTGGCTGAGGCGTGGCCCTTTCCTTGGCCTTGTTTTCTGTAGTTTATAATAAAGAAGGCTGGGAGAGAGTTTTGGAAGGCTTAGTTGGTGAGAAAGGGAGAACTCCAGCAATCCATCAGCATGAATAACTAATGTTTTCCTTTATTAGATTTGTTAGTTCTTTAAGCACATCTCAGGATCAGGAGAGTTGTTTTAGTGGATGATTTTTTTTCTCCCTTGCTCTCTAACACTTATGAAAACACCCTTCACCTTTTCCTCCTTACTTTTTCTTAAATAAAAACTCCTCTGTTTGGCCACTGTTTCTAGTCCAGGGCCTCTCAACCTTCCTAACTCTGTGTCCCTTTAGTACAGTTCCTCATGTTGTGGTGACCTCCAACCATAAAATTAATTTTGTTGCTACTTCATAACTGTAATTTTGCTACTGTTATGTAGCAAAATGTAAATATCTGATATGCAGGATATCTGATATGCAACCCCCAAAGAGGGTCAAGATCCAGAGGTTGAGAACCGCTGTCCTAATCTTTATGGGTGTTTTACCTATGTGAGCGTGACTCCTGGGGTAGACACATTTCTGTGCTCTGGGTATGATAATCCTGCCTGCCTGGATGCTGTGAAGACTGAATACAACAACCCATGCAGACCTGAGTGGGACACTGGGCTCTGGATAGTGGATGACCCTGGGGTTCTCTTCCTCACACCCACCTCACATATCTCCCCACCCCCTACTCCGCAGTTGTCTGCTACCAAGCTAACCGCGATGAGCTCCGGCGACGCATCATCCAGTGGCTGGAAGCTGAGATCATTCCAGATGGATGGTTCTCCAAAGGCAGCAACTACAGTGAGATCCTGGACAAGTACTTTAAGGTAATCAGAGTCGAGGGCAACAGTATTCAGTCCTGGAGAAGGGGGATCTACCTCTTCCCCTTTAATGGCTATCAGGAGACACAGAGTTCCTTAGAGTCCCAGAGTAATGCCCTCATCACCAGTTACTTTATGGAGCTGTGAAAGTTGCAACCTGCTTGACCAGCTGGAGGCCAGAAGTTGACCTTTGGGATCCAACATGCCTGCCTGTCCAACATCCCTTTGAACATTTGAGAACACCAGAGTCTCCAGAAGCAGCCATGGTGACTGCTGTAGCTCTCCTGCCCTGTGTAACACTTTGGAAGCTGGTACAGAGCACCCTCTGGTTTACCACACCCAATTCAGCATCTTTCCTGCCCAGCTTACCACCTGTTTCTCCATGTCACTAACTTGACTGGGACTGGAGTAAGTAGTGCTGCTGTCCACCATATTAGTAGGAGAGACAGAGAGTTCCATCTGGAGGCCCAGAAAGATACTGCTTTTGAAGGGGAAAATGAGTGAGGAAATAAATTGTTGTCTTGGGTATGGGTATCACACACGGATATCATTCAGGAGCCTGGAGAGTCATTGGGAGAAGTGGTTAAGGGTGCTCTACTAGTTAATTGACAAGAACACAAGAGACACACCTACAATATTTCAGACACACAAACCGCACACACCCATCACAGACACTTCTTACACTCAGCCACACATTCATGTAGCGCATTCCCACAGAGGCACCAAGCCCCTAGGCCTTCAGGATGTACATGTTAAGGTCGGTGCCTTGAACACTCACTCCAGTGCATGCTCACAAAGCCTACTGTCCCCACAACTAGCTAATTGTAGCTCCACATATGCAAGGGACTTTCTGGAAGCTCTCAGGCCACCCGAACACCTTTCACACCATCCTAGTCTGTGGATTCTTTAGCTGGCATTATGGACACAGATGAAGAGAAGCTGGGTTGGGTTGCAATGCATATGTGATCGTTTAAGGCATCTCCTGTATTACTCTTATTAGATAGAAGTTTTCTCCACCATGGCAGAGATTTAAACTCTGGATTCCTAGTTTTCGTCTTACACTGGAGAGAAAGCATTGCTCTTCCCACTCAGCAGTGTCCCAGCCATTCCCAAATGACAGAGCACTGAAGAAATGGGTGCTTCCTCTTCTGTAGAAAACTGCATCACTTTGCTAAGCAGGAGAACCAGACAGGAGCAGAAAAAAAAAAAAAAACCATAAAATGACTCAGGCCTGGCTGCCAACGCTGACACCTGCATTCAATACTCAGGACCTACATGGTAGAAGAAGAAAACCAACTCTTGTAAATTGTCCTTTGACTTTTACACATATGTTGTGGCATGACACTCCCACATACATACACAATAAATAAATAAATGTAATTTTAATTTTTTTAAAGACAATGATTTTTCCCAAAGCCAAATGAGAAGTGTCTGCACGGTTTATTATAAGCATTCATTCTGTCCTGTCCTTAAAGCATGGAGCTGTTGGGCATAGGACACTAATTCCAAGAGGCCACTTGGGATTTTGTAACCTTTTGTAGATGGAAGCTGGCCTCAGGCACTTCTGATACCTGCTATTAAATTTGATTGCCAAATACTCAGGCCACTCTGCCACTCAACACATCTCCATGTCCCCAGGCAGTAACACTCTTACAGGCTCCTAGGGGAAGGGAAAAAAACACACAGCATGGCCACTTGGGAAAACAGCTTTTCTCTGGAGCATTCTCCCATCTCAGAAAACTTGCTGACGGATTACGAACACAAAGCCCCTCTTCCAAGACATCTACAGGAGATGCCATCCCACCAGGTCCACAGATGATGTAGATGAGAGAGCTGATGTCTCAGATTTCTCTGTGGCAGAGCCTTGCTCTCCAGCCCAGCTGGCTTTCCTCACACTAGATTAGAATGGCAAACCTAATGAGAATTCAAGTAAGGCTCACACTGCCTCTCCCCTCCCAATGGTCCAGTCACCGTTTCTTTGATGAACTCAGAACAGAACAAAAGGTGAGCCTGGTGGAAGAGCCTTTTGTACCATGCTGTCTTACCTGTGTCACTAGATGGGGGGCTCTTAGAGGGTGGGGCTGAAACTGGAGCCAGCCTTTTTATCTCCCTGATCCCCAGCTGCTTTATGTGAGTGAAGGCCTGGCTCAGCCCATCTCCCCTGAACACTATGTCAACATACAAGTATGATTCTCTAGCATTGGTCTCAAAACATTCCTCTCCCTTCCTTTCTGCAATCCTACAGTCAAAACAGAAGAATGTTACTGTCTCAGAAACAGAGCTACAGACGGGCTTACAGAGGTATCCAACCTTAGCAGCGGGGTTAGCTGAGTGAAGAATGCTGGCTTCTGGCCAGGGGTTGAGATGCCACTGGGTTTAATGCTATTTCTGGGCAGGTACCAGATGGATGAGATGAGATGAGATTGACAAGAGATGGGATGTCCCCTTGGTTTCAAGCCTACATTCTGGTTCTCCGATAGTTGAAGTGTGCACGCGAAGTACTGACTTTTGAGAGCCAACTGGACTGGAGTACCAGGTGCCCAGTTGGTGACTGTGTACCTACTGCAGGACCATGGCTTCCCCTACATTCACTCTTGTTACCAGGCAGGGGACAGGGTTTGCTCTAGTTGTACTCAGGAAAGTTCTTTGGTCCTCAGAACTCCCCCTCCCTGATCAGGCTTATTGAATTGTGCATCTTTAATTAATCAAAACCTCACATGTGGATTATGAGGAGATGCTCAGGGCAGGTGTACAGTGGGTACATAAAGAATGTCTCAGACCTGTCCCTGAGAATCAGGACAAGATTAGAAGCTGACAAACAGGTTCTAAGCAAAGGTGTAATGGTTGTCTCGTGTGTTCCTCTCACTGCATATGCCGTGGACATTTTACTTGCGGCACGTGGCAGCCATGAGAGAACAGTTGGCTATGTTTTGCCCCTGCCCAGAAGTCTAGGCAGACATTTCTTCCAGACTCTTTTTTACAGTGTAAGGAATCAACTTAAAAATAACTTGGGGATGCTGATCGCTTCCCAGTGAAGCCTAAGAAAAGTGTAGGAAATGGAGGGGTCCCCCTAGGACTAGTTAGGATAGCAGCAGCACCCAACATAGAATTTGATCTAAACCCTCCAGTTGATGCTTCCTCCTGTTGCTAGGGGTTCAGCATGTCGAATGACTCCAGATGGCTGAGGCCTTAGTTTAGTTAGCATCTTGCTTTGGAGGGAATGATGCCTGACCTCACCATTCCTTGGTCAGTTGGGTTCCTGTGGTATCACAGGTCATCAGCCTGCACAGCATAGCCTGAGGACCTGTGTACACATATGCACTGACACTGCAGTGCAGGGCAGAGGAGGCGGGAGGCTGGTAGGCTTCTGTGGGCCCCAAAGGGAGCCTGGAAGATCATTTGCACTGCTGCTTCTCCTGAGCAGCCTGTTAGAATCATACTCCAGCGTGTGTGACAGTGACACTATCAGTGGTCTGTGGAGCAGTGTCAGGGAGAGGGTCACAGGGTATTCTTAGGTAATGCAGACATCTATCTGTTCAGGCTGCCCTCCTGAGCAGGATGTATACTGAAAGAAACCCCCTGATGGCTTCTGCTTAGGCACTTCCATTTGCTCATTTTGGAGTACCACTTCCTAGTTTGGGTGTCCACTGATCTGAGTCACTGCTATTGTAGTTCCTTGTGGCCAGGTGAGGACAGGGTTGGAATCTATTAAGAATTAGATGAACTGAGGGGTCAGGCCAGAGAGCATACCAATAAAACTGGGGCTTCCTAAACACTCCTGAGAGATCTCTTCATCTCTTCTAGAACTTTGATAATGGTGACTCTCACCTGGACTCCAGTGAATTCCTGAAATTTGTGGAGCAGAACGAAACAGCCATCAACATCACCACTTATGCTGATCAGGAGAACAACAAACTGCTCAGGTGGGGAATGAGGGTCTGGACATACGGTCCCCAGGGAAGGTTGCCTGGGGGGGGGTGAAGCCCTTCCACCAGCAGAAGAGGGTCCAGTGCCAATGCGAAAGAAATAGAAAAGTAGGATTTCTGTTCCTGATCTATTCTGTGAACGTTATAAAACTGGGATAGCAACATTGGTATCTGAGCAAGAGGTTATTGTTTGGGTTTAGAACTTGCAAGGAGAAAAGACTGTAATTTTAGAATAAATCATCAAGATCTTGCCATACCCACGATGCTTCTGAGTATGGCATCTAATATTCTGCTGTTGATCTTCTGACAGAACTGTGTTCGTGTATTCTCTAGTGGTAAATCTAAAATCGTTTCATTCCCGGTGTTTAAGATGATCAGTACTGTTCCATGTAGAGTTCCCTAATTGCTATAAGCGTTTGTTCTTCTTTTAGCATTTTCTTAGAAAAAACTTTTAATAAACAAAGAAACTTCTGGTATGGTACTAGTACATCAGGAAGAATTAAACATAGGAAAGTTGCCTCTCTTTTGTTCAAAACAAGTTCAAAGTGCAGCTTCCATGAATCTTTCTAACCATAGTCCTGGACCATGCATCTTTTAGTAACCTGGATTTAGGCAATTTGATAATTTCAATGTTTGACCCTCAAAACATCCCAGTGAGGGAGTGACTCTCCCCCTACCTATAGAGGTAAGAAAATAAACTCAGAAAGGCTGAATAACTAGCTCAGGAACATTTGAGTAGGAAGTAGCTGAGCCAGGGACCAAGTCTTAGTCAACAGAGGGAGTGATGGAGCCAAAGTTCTATAAAACTTCTGAAAGACCTCTTTTTAGAATGTTGATGGTGGTGATTCTTGTTTGAATTTAATATTCTTTCGAGTCCTGTATTCCTTTTCATGATTTCTATCATCTCCTGCTATGGTTTTTCTGGACTGCTTGACTTGACAGTCATACCCCGGGAAAAGGCAATCTAGAGGAAGGTATGCAAATAGTGAGAGCATTTGTTAATCAAGGTGGACAAAACTGTTCACAAAACTTTAGTTGTCCTTGGGGGAGCATTTGAACAGCCTACGTGATGTGATATCCAGTCTAACAGCTGAGTAACTGGGTAATGGTATGACGGGCCAAAGAGGAGAGAAGTGTTTGCAGTGAACAGTCATCTTGCCTGAGGCTCCAGGTGTCTGGAGCCTTGTGCTTCCTTCCTTTTGTAGGGAAGAAGCCACCTCCTTGCTGATAGTGCTTCTCTTGTGTTTTCTTTCAGAGGACTCTGTGTTGATGCTCTCATCGAACTGTCTGATGAGAATGCCGACTGGAAACTCAACTTCCAAGAGTTCCTCAAGTGCCTCAACCCATCCTTCAACCCTCCTGAGAAGAGTATGCCTAGTCTAGAAACTGAGTGTTGTCAGGGATGGGAGGATTTACAGGAAAAGGAAGGTGCAAGTCAGAAATAACTGGTAGAATACTCCAGAGATACCAAACTAGCTCCCATCCGTGGTACCAGTCTGTCATCAACCCACTGTCTCTATGATAGGGTTAAGGCCATGAGTTTATGGAGCATTTGACCATGAGAGACAAGGCAGTCCTTGTCTGGGAAGGGGGGGGACTGTACCAAAGACACCACCTTGTTCTACCCTCATGTCCTAACTGTTGCCTTTATTTATGATCCAACAGAGTGCGCCCTGGAGGACGAAACATATGCGGATGGAGCTGAGACGGAGGTAGACTGTAACCGCTGTGTCTGTTCCTGTGGACACTGGGTCTGCACTGCAATGACCTGCGATGGTGAGCCATACTGAGGGCAGGAGGAGGGAGCAGAGCTCTGACTTGAGTGAAAGAAGGTGATGTGGGTATGAAGGGGAAAAGAAAAGCCAGGGACTGGAAGTCAGTGGCAGCCCCCCAGCCCCCCTGGGGAGCATTGTGGGTGTAGCACTTGTTCCAGACGAATCGGGTGTGAAAATCATTCCAGAGACGTCAAATGAGAGAGAATGGTGGCTCAAAGCACCAATAAATGTCAGTATCAGACCGAAATAACCATCCTGAAAGAAAAGCTGATCAGTGAGAAATATGTACCAGGGCTCTTTGTATATTAAGCGACTTAATCCTTGTGACACTTGAGGATTTATATATATATTATATTTTATATATAAAAAAAAAAAAAAAAAAAAAAAAAAAAAAAAAAAAAAAAAATAAAAAAAAAAAAAAAAAAAAAATAAAAATATAAAAAAAAAATAATATAATAATATATATATAATATATATATAATATATATTATATATAAAAGGGTCAGGTGGTCAGAAATCAAAATGACCTTAATTTGCCATACCAGGCAGGGAAAAAATGTAAAAAATAAATTAGTTAAAAAATTAAGACCATTGAGACAGGAGCAAGACAGGTTGGGAACATATAGGTGTTGGAGTTTGGGAGGCAGAGCAGAGGTCAAAGAGTACGTTGGAACTACTCATGTCCCATCAGAGACTTGAGCTACAGTGATGTCAGCGATCAAGAGGGAACATACATCAAAGTCAGACTGAAGCAAAGAGCCGGATGAAAGCAAATCAGAGGATATTAGAGCGAGATTCACACTTTTGAGTGTGAAAAGAAATGTCAGTTAGAACCAGACGTAAAAGTTCTACCTGCAGGAATGACCCCAAGGTTATATTTTAAGAAGTTAACTGAGGCAAGAAAAAGTCAGTATTTAAAGTTATGTTCAGGGGATTAGGTAAGATGGCCACTGAGCAATAGCAATCAAAGACCCACGAAGCACTCTAGCCATGGAGCCCAGAACACCAGCAGTATAGGTGGAAGCCAGTGTTATCCATAGGTTCACTAACCTTCCTAGGTCCAAGTCTGCTTCAGTGTGAGAGAATAGATGGCCAACCTAACTGTAGGGACAGATGAGAAAGCAAAAGAGGCAGTTTAAGGACAAGAATTTTCTAGAAGACAGTGGAACTGATAGTCAGACAACCACGCTGTAGCTACTGAAGCATCAAAGGGCATCTTTAAACAGGGACCCAGTTTGCCTCAACCAGGAAGCACCCCCGTCTGTCTTCCCAAACTCCCTTCCATATATCTAACTGCTCTTGTCCTTGCTTTGTTAAGGTATTCCTCCTCCATTTTAAGATGCATGAGTGAGAGTGCACTGACTTATGGAACACAAACACAAACATCTGGGTAATAAGCCAATCACAGTGCATCCTACAACACCTCACTCCTATGAGACTGTGTCAGTTTCCATAGCCACACTGTGGGCTGCTTGTCCTCCTCGAGGAAAGGTCGGTCTATGGGGCCTCAATACGTCTTGGTGTACAGGCTGTGACATAAGAGGAAATTGAAGAGGCATTTTCAGGCCAGTGTCTGAAAACTAGCAGTGTCATATTAGATCACAAATCTCAAAGGCACAAACAGGGCATTGAGATAACACCAGAAGGGGCCAGGGCCATGAGTGCTGGCTATGAGGGATTAGTGTCTATTGTTTCCTAATGGTAAGTGTTGTGTTCAGCAAATGGATTCCCAGGCACCCTTCCAAACCTTCTAGATTATAGTCTACGAAAAGAACATCTTATGGACCTGTGTAGGTTTTTGCTTTTTGTTTGTTTGGTCATTTGGGGGTTTTGTTGTTGTTTTGTTTTGTTTTGTTGGGATTTGTTTTGTTTTGTTTTTACTGTTTTTTTTCTTTGTACTTGAGAAATGTTTGTTACATGTCGTAGTTATCAACCCTGGGTGTACAGAACCCCCCAAAAAGCAAAAACTCTGGGCCCAGATACTGCTCACCCCAATCAGTTATATCAAAATTTCTACAGGTGAAAGCCAGGCAACTTGAGTTTATTTTATTTGTCTCTTTATTTTGTAGTTCTGGGGGTTGAGCATGGGGATGGGGTTCTTGGTTTGTATGCTGGGCAAGTACTGCCAATGAACTGCACCCGAGCCAGAAATTACATTTGCAAATGTTCCCTGGAACATTGTGAGCATGTGGGAGCCACTGAGAATCACTGCCCCAGGTGTGTCCTGAGCAGGACTTCGGTGGTCGACATTGCTTTTCTGTAGGACTAGTTTGTCTTGTGAGTTAACGAGAGCAGCAGGAACTGAAGCCAGAGGGTAGGGGTAGATTGCTTATTTGTATTACTCTGAATGACTTGATGCTCAGAGAGAGGTGGGCCATTCAAGTCTCCTCCACAGGTTAAGTGGAGAGTCTGTTAGGTAGAGCCCTCCCCGGCTTAGCATAGCCCCCGCTACTCTGAACTTTGACTTTTCTTACAGGAAAGACTCAGAAGGGGGCCCAGACCCAGACACAGGAGGAGATGACCAGATATGCCCAGGAACTCCAGAAGCACCAGGTGAGCAGCCGAAGTGCTGGTTCAAATGTCACTGTTGCTGCCTGGCTCTTAATCCACTCAGCAGCTGTCCGGAGCCCCAGGAGATGAGGGAAACAAAACACACTTCATTTAACCCAGTAGATCCCAGAGGATGCTACCGAGCCTGTACTACCAAACTGTGGTCCCTGAAGGAGTTGCTGGAGGTGGGAGGGGCTGGGGTATCTCTCCTTCCATCAGCCAGCATCTGAGAGCTGCTACCTTGAAATGATTCTTAGCATTTCTATCCTTGGGCATGTGTGGGCAGAGTAGACTCCTAAGATGGAGAAAGCCCCAAGGTGCAGATGCAGGTGTAGACCATGAAAGTCAAGCTCGTGTTCACTGCGAAACATTCAATACAAGGCAACTGGACATGGAGCACCAAGCATGCCTAGTCGATGTCAGCCTATGTTGTCAGCAGTTTCTTAGAGTCAGTTCTTAAATTAAGGTCGAATTCACATGTCATAAAGTTTACTCCTTTTAAAATAAGCAATTATGCAAGTGAGTGACATTCAGTGCATTCCTAAGATTGTTGGCCATTCCTCATGGTAAATTCCAGAGTGTTTTAACATTCCCCAAAGAAACCCCATGCCCATTAGAAGTAACTCTACTTTTTTTCCCTTTCCCTCTGCCCCTGGCAATTGCTAACCTATTTTCTGACTGTAGATGTGCCTGGTGTGGGCGTGTCATATAGAATGCTCTTTTTCTGTCTGACTTTTTGCACTTGACTTAATGCTTTTCAGGTTCATGCTTAGAGTGTGAATCTACCTACTATTGACTACATACATATATGACATTCTATGTATGTAGTCAATAGTTGATGGATATTTAGGTGACTTCTGGCTCCGATGAAGGATGCTGCTGTGAGTTTTACTATTCAAGTTCCTGTGTGGACTATGTTTTCACTCCTCCTGTATGTTTAGGAATTGAATTCAGGACATAAAATAATGCTGTGTTTAATCCCCAGGGGATTGGTTGCCAAACTTTTTTCCAAACACCATTCATTGTACATCTCCCCCAGGGGTCTCCATTTTCTTCACATCCATGATAACATTTGTTACTATTATTCTCTATTTCATCTGACCTACTGGATGTGTAGTAGTATCTCATTACATTTTCATTTGCATTCCTCTAGTGTCTAATGGTGTTGTGTCCTTATTGGCTATCTGTACATCTTCTTTGGAGGAACGTGTCAGGCACCGTTGTAAGAGCTGGTACAGTGTTGCCCTCATGTTAAGGGCATTAAGATGTAGATTTAGAAATACTTCCAAGGACACTAGGAAAGCTGAACAGCCAAATTCAAGCCCAGACAGTATGCCTCTGGGACCTATTGATTCTAGTTATCTTGTAGGACATGGATTCAGAACATTTTCCCTTTAGTATCCTTTATCATTAGAAGTGTGGGACAATAATATGATTTGCTTATTTCATGAGATGTTCATATAGAGTCAGCTCTATGTCAGTAAACCACCCCTGAATGACCACACCACAAATTGGACATAGCCTCGTGTTGTTTGTCTCTCAAGGAGGAGCCGTACAAGTACACAACTAAAATCTAGCATAATCATGTGTCCATTGATGCTGTAAGTCTGGGGGCCTGGATAAATGCCACCAACTTTTTAACATTTGTACAATGATTATTTCCTCTTCCATCTCAAAGGAGACAGCTGAAAAGACCAAGAAGGTAAACACCAAAGAGATCTGACAAGAAGCACCTAGCACCATGTCTGCAGCCCAGCGCCTCCTCCTCTTCAGCGCTGAGTTCAGTATACTCGAGTGTCTGCTGTGATCACCAAACCACCAGTATTTGCTTGTCAGGCAATGAATATTATTTTGTTTGTTTTGCAATGAAGGAAATGAGGGTGGCTGGCTAGCAGGGAGAGGCCACAACCTTCATTTCCAGGAGTGCTTTAAGAGAAACTAAAGGGCGCTTTGGGGCTGGAGGCAAGTAAGGAAACTGCTTCATGCTGGCAGAGGAGCAGACCCGGGTCCAAACGAATCCTTTCAGGGGTCACAGCAGCCGCTGGAGGCTACAGGGACAGCATGTGATGTTGGGGGGAGGGCTGAGCTGGCTCTGCTGGAGGAAGGGTGGGGAGCTCTGTGGAGAGGAATCCTGCTGCCTTTGACCCTTGTCACCAATGTCAGCATTAGAGACCTGCAGCATATCTGCTTCCCCTCGGTCCCAACAATCACCCGAATATACAGCCATCCCACTAGTGTCCTGCGTCCCTCAGATTTGGATGGACTTTCTAGGAGGGTGTGTTTAAATGATGCAGATACTTAAATACTTCAAGCGCCATAGAGACCTAACCAAAATTTTAAAATACACTTTTTTTTTTTTTAACCAAAGGTGCTATTTCTCTGTAAAAGACTTTTTTGGGGCAAGCTGATTTCATTCCTCAGTTATTATCATTATATTATTGTCATTCTTTTAGTATTTCATTTTCTTGACTAGATATTAGGCTTTTGTAATTTTTTTTCGGTAGTCCTACTGTTTCAGAGGTGAAAGGAGTTTGGGTTTTTTTTCTGGGTACAGGGAACTCTGTAACATAGATGACCCCTTACCCTGCCACATACTACACTAGATACAAGCCAGACCTGCACCACCCCACCCCGGGCTTCCAGAAGGTCAGCTACATGCCAATAAGTGTGAGATGCCTCGGACAGAAGCTATAGGATGAAGCATCTTCATGGGCAGTTATTGAGATCCAAAGAGTTCATTTGCTTTACAAAAGCAGGTTATCCCAGCCTGCCAACACACAGTGATCTGAGGCTAACTGGCAGAGTGACCCTGGCCCTGTCTGCTCCTATTCTGGGTGCCAGTTTCCTTAGAGTGGTAAGAATGCATCTTGGGATTTAATAATTGATACAGTTTGTGGTTTAGGTAACTGGTCCAGAGGGAGCTAGAGTCCTGTGACTCTGCCTTCTCCTTAGAATAGATGAAACCATACAAAAAGAAAAGACAGCCAGTAGCAGCATGGCCAGGTTTCGCCTTGGTCTAAATGATCCTTTCATGTGGCTGGGGTGAGGACTTCATGAGTCAATCTGCCCAGGAAGAGAGCATGAAGGAGAACCTCCAACCTTCTCAACCTGGTGCACATGAGTGCAGTCTCTTCTTGGAGTCAGATTTCCCCATACAGATGAAGGTAGAAGTTTCCAGATTTGAAAACAGTATAAAATGAAGATTGCAAGTTAGTTATTGCAAGTCGGTTCTTTCTTTGGACCTCTGATTCTTAACTCCCTTACTGCCATGTTTCATGTGCTTTTAACATCATACACACACACACACACACACACACACACACACACACACACACACACACAATATCAAAACCTTATCTCATTTGCAAAACTCAAACTATAGACTCTCCAAATTATTGAGATTTTCCTGCATAGGCAAGTGTGGAAAGTTGGGATGGGAGTGGAATTCCTCCTAAATAGTTTCCCTGTTCTCATGTGAAAGGAGACAACTCCACTTTGTTGAGTGTTCAGAGCTTTTATGTCCCATCTCATTAGAAAACTCTTGAACCCCTTGTGCAGTCCAGATTTCAACTCCCTCTCCAAGTGCCTTGGAGAACTCACAGCAGCATGCCTTAATCAAAAGTTTTGCCAGTCCTTGGCCATGATGGGAGAGGGCAGAAATATCAGTTTGCTCAAAGCAAAGACCCACAGTGTCTGTTCACCAGTCATCTTTAGAACAGTGGTTTTCAACCAAGACTATCCCACCCCATAACATTGAATACCCACGGGCAAGCCCACATTCCTCTTGAGTCCCATTACTTCTGTGTGAGCAAGGCCGCTGTTGTCTGCACCACCATAGATTCATGTGATGGGTAAGCCATTCATGACAAGTTGCTCAGTAGCCTAGTTTGGGGAGCCCTGGGTACAGCTTTTCATGAGACCAACAAGCATGATTGTGTCAAGCTCAGTTCCTACAGTCCTCCAGAAGCCTACTGGAGGTTCCCTGGGCCTTCTGTGTTGTCTTTTGTTTTTTAAATAAACAGCAGTGTCTCTTAAGATTCAGAGCCCCGGGAAGTCTTCCCCTATACATATACCAGGACTCTGGATACTAGTGCCAGTCTTGAAAACAGGCTCCTCCATCTGTAACCAAGTCCATGTGAACAGTCTGAATTCCTTGGTTATACCTATGATCTAAATAGTTAAACTTCAGGAAACAGTTCCAACAGATTTCTGTTGCCCATGTAGTTATGAAAATGCATTTGTATTTAGTGTGCTTCCATATTTCATTTAACTTGTTTTTGTAATTTCTGGGTTTTGTTACTATGAATAAATAAAAATAAACAAATAGTTTTGCTGGCTTCCTTTTCTCCAATGAAGGCCAAATGAAATTATGAGAGTGTTTACCTTTTACCACATAAAAGTAGGTTTGAGATTCTCTGAGCCTTGGTGGGGGTGATATAAATGCATAATTATTGCTGGGCATTGGTGGTACACTCCTTTAATCCCAGTACTTGGGAGGCAGAAGCAGGTGGATCTCTGTGAGAGATCAAAACCTGCCTGGTCTCCAAGAGCTAGTTCCAGGACAGCCAGAGCTGTTACACAGAGAAACCCTGTCCCGAAAAACCAATAAATAAATAAATATTTCCTTCTATTTAACATTAAGCCTTAGGCCACCATGCATAGCAACAATCATGTATTCTCAGCATTTTGTTCAGTTATGAGTTTCCAAAATAATTGTTGCCCAAAGCTGACCAAGGCTGACAGCAACATAAATCTGTGGCTTGTAAAGAAATATCTAGAAGGCACATCACAGCTGTTGAAAACAATAACAGTAGTTTTCACACTGGGATCATTTGCCTCCCCTGACTCTGGCTTACAGTACCAAACATGAGTTCCTGCCTATGAAATGGGCTTTAAATCCAACCAGAAGATAGTTTGTTGCACCAGTAATGTTCATGCCACTATTGTACCGATGGGCACATCTTGCCTGGAAGATGGTAGTGCAGCGTGCTGGTCCATAACTACAAAATATTATGTGTAACACTTCTCCCCCAACAGCAAATCTGTGAGACAAAAAACATAATTCTATAATGAAACTTTTTTATGTGGATTAGAGAGAATCTACCACTGTCCATTTCAAGCTCCAGTTGGCTTTGGGATTCAGCAGTTAAAGTAAGATAGTTTTATCTAACTCAGTTAAGGAGAAGAGTTAATGTAAGATTGGAGTCTGCTTCAAAGAGAAGTTGTACTTGAGAACAAGAGCTTGATAAATTCACAACAGCAGTGATAAAACATCTAGAATGTGCTCAGAAAAAGACAACTTGTTGAAAGGAATCTAAACTGAACAGAGCTCCAACATTTGGCTTCTGTCTTAATTAGGTTTACCATTGCTGTGATGAAACACCATGATCAAAGCAACTTGGGAAGGAAAGGGTCTATTTTACTCAGTCTCATATAACACAGTTCAAATGTGAGGCCAGGAACTCAAGCAGGGCAGGAACCTGGAGGCAGGAACTGACACAGAGGCCATGGAGGGATGCTGTTTAATGACTTTTTCCTCATGTCTTGCTCAGCCTAATTTCTTATAGAACCCAGGACAACCAGCGCAGAAAACAGCACTACCCACGATGAGCTGGGCCCTCCCCAATCAATCACTAATTAATAAAATGCCTCTTGTAGGTTTGCTTATTGCCCAATCTTATGGAGATATTTTCTTCCATAAGATGTTGCTGTTATGATGCTTCTTCCTTTGATGACTTTAGCCTATGTCAAGTTGACTTAAAACTGGCCAGAATAGTTTCCTACAAGCAGAAAAGTGTAGACTCTAGAAGGCTCAACTTGAACAATGAAGTGCAAAACCCTGTCGCCAACTGTAGTCAGGAGCAGGTCTTATTCACTTAGAGTGAATAGCCAGCCCCAAGACTGAGGTCAGCAGGATCAATCAGTGTCTGGGGCCACCTATTTGTATGCCCTGCTGTAGAGCCCGAGAACTATGAAGTGCATCTCTCCAGCAGGGTAACTAATACTTAGGAGGACTTTAAAATATAAAGAGAGGGCCTCTGCTACCTCAGTGCTCCAGTTGCTTACCATAGTCCCATTGCATTTTGACACCCTGATGGGTCCAGTCTGGAGAGACTTAGGAGGGTGGGAGAACCTGCACAGTCAACAGACTGCAAAGCTGGGTGAGGTCAGTAAGGGCCCCTGGTAGAAAAAGAAGAGAACCTTTTAAAATGAAGACAGCTTGAGCAGACACTGGGCACTTGCCCAACACAGAGATAAACTACTAGGACAACAGTATAAACCACAAGAAAATAAGAGAACCTCAAGTCCAGATGACAGTCCCCACCTGCCCATGCAGAAAATTCAGCCTCCAATTTTTGAGTAACCAAAATGAAACTGCTCTGACGTTTCACTTTTAAAACCAAACAAAACCCCCTACAGTTTAGTAGGATTTTTATTCTTCCATGTTTAAATGTTTTGACTTATTTATGTATATGAATCGTTACCTACATGTACATATGTGCATCACATGTCTTCCTGGTGCCTGTGAAGTTCAGAAAAGGGTGTCAGATACCTTTGAATTGGAGTTACAGATGCAAGTAGGTGCTGGGTGCCAAAATCAGGTCCTCTGCCAGAGCAGAGGTTCACTGAGCCATCTCTCCAGCCCTTTCATTACATTTTTTTAAGAGCTGATTGCTTTATTTTAATTCTATTAGTGGTTTGTCTGCTTGTGCGTGCACGTATCACATGCCCATCTGGTGTCTGTAGAGGCTAGAAGAGGGCATTGGCTCCCCTGAAAGTGGACTTACAGACAGTTGTGAACTGCCATGTTAGGAATTAAAACCATGTATTTTATTCTCCTCCTTATATTTATCTAATTTTGCTTTCAAATGTTCTCATTATTAGGAATTTTTTGTTTTGTTCTTTTTAATTTTTTTAGCATCTCCTGCTCTTTTATCTTCCCTCTGTAACATTCTTCTCCACTCTCTTACCTTTTGTTTATTTTGCTTCCTCTTTAGTTTCCCTTGTGTCATTCATTTGTTATTTATACATTCATTCTTAACTGGAATTCACTTTGTAAACCAGACTGGCCTCAAAATCATGGCAATCCTCATGACTCATCCTCCCAAGTGAATGATTTCAATAGCCCACTCTCATTTTTACATAGATCATTCAAACAAAATAAAAATCTTTACAACCAATGAAGACACCTCAGACTACATCTTAGATCAAATTGATTAAACATATATCTACAGAACAGTGGTTCTCAATCTTCCTAATGCTTCAACCCTCTACTACAATTTCTCACATTGTGGCAACCGCAAGCATACAATTATTTTGTTGCTATTTCATAGCTGTAATTTTGCTACTATGAATACCTGAAATGCAGGATATCTGATCTGCAACCCCCACAGGTTGAGAACCACTTTACTAAACTAACAAGGCAGCCTACTGCTGGGAAAAGTCTCCACCAATTACACACCAGACAAGAAACTGATACCCATGGTACAGAAAGAACTGCAAAATGTAAGTGGCAAAACACTCAAATCAATAAACAGACTACTAAACTTAGTGACAGTTTGCAAAAGAAGAAACACAGAGAGCAAATAAATACTTCAAAAATCTTCAACACTCTTAGTCATTAGTGCAATGCAAATTAAAAGTAATTTCAGCCCAGTCAGAATGGCTATTGTGAAGAAAACAAATGACAACAAATGTTGGCAAGGATGGGGAAGGGGGAGGCCGGACGCTTACCCACTGCCAGGGGATGTGAAAACTAGTGTAGTCACTTCAGAAGCAGCATAGAGGTTCTTCAATAAATTAAGGCCAGAACTGCAATGTGACTCAGCTACACTCTACATATCCACTGTCCACAATAGCTAAGAAAGAGGACTGGCCTCAATGTCTGTGGACTAATGAATGGATAAAGAAAATGTGGTACATATGTACAAAGAACTTCCTTCAGTTCTAAAGAAAAATGAAACCATGACATTTGCAGGGAAACAGATGGGTGGAAATCATTATGTTAAGCGAAATAAGCCAGACTCAAAAAATACTACATATTTTCTCTTCTGTGCAGTAACTAAATTTACGTGTGTGTGTGTGTGTGTGTGTGTGTGTGTGTGTGTGTGTGTGTGTGTGTGTGTGATGAAATTAGAAAGACCACCATGAGAAAGGAGGAAGAATTCCTAAAGGAAGAGGTGAAAGAGAGGGTAATGGAATTCATATGGCATAGAAGCGTTAAAACAAAACAAAACAACTCTTTGAAGAAAGGAAGGAAGCCAGCAAGAGGGGGTAAGGGGACCTGGAGAGATAATGGAGGAAGGGGATGAATGACAACAAAGTGACTTATGAATGAAATGGCATAATGAAGCCCATTACTTCCTTTGTCTCAAATTTTTAATGAAAGAAAACAAAAACGAAAATGTCATCCCATTCAAATATACCATGAAATCATCTCATTCCTCGTATCAGTTGTTCTGTCAAGAGATGAATTTCGGGCACAGCTGCACGGATGGAGCCAACTTAGCACTCAATAGTCCAGTCATTACCCTTGAACGTGGCCTCCTCATACTAGGGTACCGCCATGGGCATCTTGCAGATGCCCCCACCCCCTGACAGACCCAGAGGAAAAGTGCATGCCCCTCATTCTGGCCCATGACCACTGGGAACAGGCCGTGTCTGCACATATCATGCACACTGCTGGCACAGGCTCCCTGACTCTGACAGACTCCAGGAAGTGCTCTGTACATTGACTTATTGACTAAACTTGCCTGCAGAAAGAAAGGGCAGGTAAACAGTGTCAGCCACTAACACCACCCTGGTGTACTTCATTGCTCAGGAGAGACACACACAGCATACTCTGGCAGCACACTGACCACCTCTAGGACAAGCACGGTCTTTTTCACCTGTACTTCCCTGGCTTCCACCGCCCTGAGGAACTGTTGCTCAGGATGTGAAACCTTCCAGCAGCTCACAAGTCCAGTGTCTGGCTTTCTGACATCACACACACACACACACACACACACACACACACACACACACACAGACACCCTTAGGAACTCTGGCTCAGCACAATCTTGCTACATTTGCTTCTGAGCGGTGACCTTGAACAGTCCTGTCATTGGCTTTCCTCTCTTCTCACCCCCTGCTGCATGCTTCAGGACGTGATAAGTCCAATTTACATGCCTGTCTAAATCATACAGGTCAAGCCACTAAAGCCCCATACCAGCCTTGAGGTTCCTGCTGAGTTCACTTCCTACTTAACTCTCCTGTGAACCCAGGCCTGTCAGGACCATGGACTGTGTGTCAAACACTGCTTCTCTCCTGCCCATTTCCTTCAGTGATGC